GTGAACCTCGCTGCTCCCCCGGGGAGCCCAGGGAGTAGCAAGCGGAGCTGTGCCTCACCTCCAGCCAGGGTCGCCAGGCACAAGATCCCCAGCACAAACAGGACCTGGAGAGAAACAGCCTTCATGTTCCCGTGGTCGGCAGTAGGAAGGGTAGGCAGGGAAGGATTACTGGCAGTATTTCCCGCTCCCGACTGCTTATTGCATCCTCCAGAGCAACACAGCTGCTGCAGCTCATTCCAGGATTATGAAGACCCGAGATGGGGTTTCAGCTGTTATTCAGCTCCCCCGCACGAGTCTCAGGGTGATGACAGGAGGCGGAGGGAAGAGTGGGACGGGGAGGGAATACCGCCTGCTCCGGAGCTTAGATGGCTCCTGGAATTCCCCAGCTGCACTTACACCAGCTTTTCTTAGCTCACGCAGAGCAGCTCCAGCCTCCTTGGAAAATTATTCAGGCAGGGACTTTCAGGAGTCAGCTGCTCCATCCTCCTCTCCCACCGACGTGTCTCTTGGCCAGAGAGCCTGTGCTAAGGCACCGCTGTCCTTAGGCTTATGAAGCTCTCCCAACCTCCAGCCTGCAGCTCCCCGATGTACATTAAGCTCATTATTTACCCCGAATGCAAAAGCAGCTAGTCCCTTCCTTTTTGGCAGCAGCCATCTTATAACAGCAGCGCTGGTCATTAGGCCAAAAGAGGCGGCATTTGCTAATCAGGATCACAAGTTCATCAGCTAGACCGGCGAGCTCAGGCCAGGCTGCCTCTTAGGAGCATCACCAAAGCAAGAGGTGAGCAGGGACCCAGTGGCCTCCCCAAGCAGCTCCTTGCTCCCTGGGCACGTTGTCTGCAGCGTGTGCTTGTTACTACAGTCCTGGCTTTCGGTATACGGCAGGACCTCAGCCATTGGGGTCTTGCTGATGCTGAGAGCAGGAGTACGAGGCCCCCAGATTTGCAAGCAACCAGGTTGGCTGGGGAGCTTCCTGGCACCAGCACGCAGCCAGGTCTGAAGCGGACATACCGACTCGGCGGTCACATCCTGCACCTTTACTTTCTCTTTCATCTCAGATCCCAAGCAGAATGCATAACAATTTCCCCTGCCAACTCCCTCAACTGAAAGATGAAGATAAGATCAAGTGTGGCTGCCCTTGAAATCCTTTTTCCCCCAGAGTTTTCTTAGGGCTGGTGGAAACCTGGCTTCTCTGTGCTATGGGAAATTCCGACAGTTCCAGTTAGGATTTTATTCCTAAAAAGTGAAAACCCCCAGGTTTCCGTATGATGCGTTTTTAAAACATGTGGCGAAAGTCCCAGCCTGTAACTTCAGCCTTTGCTTATATTCTAAGAGAAGATAAAGCCCATTTCAAGGAAATAAAATAAAACAAAAATTAAGACCTTGAAATAGTCTGTTTCATCCAGCCGGAACAGAACATGCTGCATCTGCTGGGATGTTTTCTGGCCCCTTCTCCAAACGGTGTTTTCTCAGGCTGGGCAGAGCCTTACAGGAGACTTTTATTCCGGGAACTGGCATTGCCCGAGGCCGTCGGGTGCCTTGGATGCTGGAAGTGATCGCACAGCCCACAAATGCTCACATGTCCCCTGAAGAAACAGGTTCTGCTTCTTCTGCAAAGGGTTTACGGTCATCGATGGATAAAACCGAGGAAGGGCTCCAACACGCACATGAAGTGGGAGGGCGAGTGCTTTGTTTGCTAAAGGCATGACTTGCCACAGGTATTGTTGTTTTAAGGCACAAACAGCTCTTTGGCAGGGTAACGCAGCTGCTTTTCCTGTGCAGGCTGGGCTGGTGGTGGTTTACCTGGTAGGGGACCCCTCCAAGACACCCTCGGAGACCTCCCTTTGCTCCCAGAGAGCTCGGGGGCTGGATTTGGAGGTGGCATCTGCACAAAGAAATCCCGCAGCAGGAGGGTGGAGGGCAGCCGCAGCCTCAGCGTGGCTCTGTGGGACATGGCAAGCCTTCAAGTGCCGGCAGCGGCGTGGGTCTAAGCCACCCGCAAGCCCTGCAGTTCCCACCAAAAGCGGGACACAGAGGACACAGCAGTTGGCTCTGACGGGAGCAGGCAGCTCCAACAAGCGATGACAAACCTGGGCTGCAGCTGACAGAAAACTGGCATCGTCGCTGCCAACCCGCGTCCCATACCACCCTCCCCGTCCCATCGCACATCTGCCCCTCCAGCGTGCCAGCGCCAGCCGCTTACTGCACTTCTTTTAGGTCCTGCAGCATTGAAAAACCCAAAGTCAGAGGACCTGCTGTAGCCCAGGAGATGTTTCTGCTGTAACTAGCAATAAACCATAGGCGTTGTATTGATCTGACAGTGAAGGATCTCAGTACTTCTCTGGGCCTGTTTTGACTTCAGATGATTTTAGCTTCTTTAGGTACAATAGAAATTGTCTAGGCAATTGCTGCTGTCTTAGTTTGATTTAGCTTTGCTTTAGTTTCTAGGAATAGCAAGTAGTTATTCAGCGTGGGCCTGGGACTGTAGATTAAATTGTGATGTGGATGAGGGCACGCAGAGGAGGACACCAGCAATCCTGGTCCATAAACACAAATCACAGCACCCAAGCAATGGAGTGTGCCACCCTGTGAGGCGGGGACAACCAACTTTCAAGGAAATAAAGAGCAGAAAAACTGCGTAACTGGGAACCAAGGAACACAGACTGTGCTAAGAAAAATGTATGAAAATGAAACCAAGCAGGCCAAGGCCGAGGAGGAAGAAAGCCCACCACGAACGTCACGTCCTTCCAACGAAGACCACGGGCTGGGGCAGCTCATCACAGTCCTTCCCCATTCTTCCTTAGGAGGACTGGAAGGAAGCTTCCTGATGCACCCAAAGGCTCTCTGAAGGGGTGGTGTAGCACCAAAGAAAAGCAGAAGGTAGTAGGAAGAGGGTTGGGTTTTTTCTCCCCATATAACTTTAACTGCAGTATGAATGAGGCAGGCCCTTAGGCTGATCTGAAACACAGACGAGGAAAAAACATGAGCAAACGTAGGTCTGTGCAGCTGCTATCGAGCGTGGGCAGAGGCACCGTGCACAGGGCACTGTGCACCGTTGGGGCTGTAACCTCTGGGCCATCTAACACAGCTCCAGGCGTGATGCTCAGCACTCACAAAAGGACTCTGTGGCTCATGCCAGACAGTTCGGTGTCGAGGTTGGAGTCTGGGCTGTCTGGTTCCCGTTCCTGCTCTGCTCTAAGGACAGTTTCCTATCAGGACGGATGTCCTGCTACTTAAACGCTGGCTTTGCTGCGGAGAAGGGGAGAACAAGGTTTGGTGTGGACTGGATGTCGATGACAAAGGCATGCTCAGAAGCCTCATCTGATGCCGTACCCCTAACCTTTGGTTGCTCACCGGCAACCATTAGCCAGGAGCTTGGCTTATTGCTCCAAACCGCGGATACCACTGGCCAAAGGGCCAGATCCTGTCTTCCCCATGAGAGACACAAAAGCAGCTCCAGCATTTCCCACCCACTGCAGCTTTGCCAGGGCTGTTCACAGGCAGGCGCTCGAGCTGTGCACAGGGTCAAGGTCCTCGCAGGTGGAAGGAACGTATGACTAATGCCGGGAGAATTGCTCTTGAAGGCTTGTGGTGGGTTGGCCCTGGCTGGGTGCTGGTGCCCACCAAGCTGCTCTTTCACTCCCCTCCTTAGCTGGACAGGGGAGAGAAAATATAACGAAAGGCTTGTGGGTCGAGATCAGGACAGGGAGAGATCACTCACCAATTACCGTCACGGGCAAACCAGACTTGACTTGGGGAAAATTAATTCAATTTATTACCAATCAAATCAGAGTAGGGTAATGAGAAATAAAAATTAAATCTTAAAACACCTCCCCCCCCCTTCTTCCCAGACTCAACTTCACTCCCGAGTTCTCTACCTCCTTGCCCCCCGTGGTGCAGTGGGACGGGGAATGGGGGTTGTGGTCAGTTCATCACATGCTGTTCCTGCCGCTCCTTCCTCCTCAGGAGGAGGACTCCTCACACACTTCTGCGGCTCCAGCGTGGGGTCCCTCCCACGGGAGACAGTCCTCCACGAACTTCTCCAGCGCGAGTCCTTCCCACGGGCTGCAGTTCTTCACGAACTGCTCCAGCGTGGGTCCTTCA